GTGTGAATGTCATAAACACTATGAGATTGCTTTGCTATTATTTCTGATCACAGAGGACTCATGCAAAGGACGTTGCGGGGAGCCTTTTAACAGAGGCAATCCATGTCACTGTGATATCGACTGTGTCCCATACAAGCAGTGCTGCCCTGATTATGAGGGCATGTGCTTGATGGAAGGTAAACCATTAAACTAAATTAATTGATAATGACTTATTATTAATCTATTGACTATTACATCATCACTAAGTCTTCAGTGATCCTTCAGAAATCATTCTAATATGCTGATTTGGTTCTCAAGAACATTTCTTCTAATTTTTAATGTTGAAAACAAATATTTCTTATGATAATTTTTTTCCCCAGAAAGTTCCCAAGAACAGCATTTATTTTTAACAGTAATCTTTTGTAACGATGGATGTCTTACTGTCACTTTTGATCATTTTAATGCATCGTTTGCAATATCAATAAAATATTTTATATATACTGACCCCAAACATTTGAACAGTATTTATTAATTAAAATAACTAACAACAGATATTTGAAAGTGCAGATGTATCTATCTGTATGCATGTGTAATTTTGCCCTAATTTTAAGCTTATATCTCTGTGACTCTCACAGATACTGCCTTAAAGTCAAGAAACACTGACACCGCAGCTCAAAGGACTGCTAACTTATGCCTAAACTTAAAGAATAAAAAATCTACAGGTATAATTACTGCAGCTTTGTCACAAATAAACAAATCAAGTGTAACTGATACTTAGCTTACGTAGCTGTTGATTTTTTTTGTAGTAACAGTTCTCTTAAAGTATAGTTGTGACATCTTTTTTGCTAGAATCTTCCAATGAGGAGATGACCAATGAAGACGGGATTGGAGGTGAGGCTTTCTCTCTCTTCTTTTTCCCTGTCGAACACGTATTGAACTATGTTACTTTGACTTTTTAAAGTAATTTTCACATTTTTTCCCCTCTGAGAATAATTACGTCAATTCACATGAATAATAATAAGTTATATATATATATATATATATGCTTACATCCTGAGGAAAAACATTGTACTCCGATAAAATGACATTGTCTTCTTATGCCGAGGCAGACGAGTTAATGATCCCTGAGGATGAAAGTGAGTCCATACCTTCTGAGGGCTCTGGTGAGCATTTATAATCTGGCATAAACAAGTTTTTTGTCAAATATGCAAGAAACCTTAAACAGCAGCACATGCGTGCATGCTGAAGACCACAGTAGTTTGATTCTACTATAACAGAAATAGTTTTGTTCTCTCCAGATGCAGATGCAAGCAGCATGCTCCCTGCTGATGAGAACCCTATAGGGTCTACCACTCAACAGCCATCTGAGATGACAACTTCCAGCACACCACAGCCACAAGAGAATGCAAGCACTGCACCAACAGAAGGTCAAACAAGTACAGCGCCAAATGAAGGTGTGTGAATCATGCAAAGTTTATATGGGATCCGAAGACTAAGCTAAAGGGCTTTGTCGGAGGGCATTTGAATATTCTAAGTATTACATCAAAAATAGATCAGATTCAATATTTACTGACATACTCTAATTTGGATTACCTTCTAAGTGAATCTTGGCTAAACAGCAATACTCTGTTTTTTTTTAATCTAAACACATCTTTAGAATGTGTGGCCATCACTGTAGTGTTGTCCAAAAAATATAGTTTAACATTGTCACATTATATAATCCCCCCTCACATCATTTTCACTAAGAGGCATACATCTGTGGAACGCTTTACCATCTGAAATTAAAACATTGACAGAACTCAAGGTTTTTAATACACATTTAAAGCAATGGCTGAAACAGAAACAGGGACAGGGGTTGCAAATTAGTCATGGCTAGAAACCTGTATGCGTGGCATCTACTTTGTATTTATTATAAAGCAATGTTTTATGCATTTGTCCCTGTCAAATAAATAAAAAAATAAAATAAAAAAAGGTCCAAGAAGCACAGCACCAACAGAAGGTCCAACAAGCACAGCACCAACAGAAGGTCCAACAAGCACAGCACCAACAGAAGGTCCAACAAGTACAGCACCAACACAAGGTCCAACAAGCACAGCACCAACAGAAGGTCCAACAAGCACAGCAGCAACAGAAGGTCCAACAAGCACAGCACCAACAGAAGGTCCAACAAGCACAGCAGCAACAGAAGGTCCAACAAGCACAGCAGCAACAGAAGGTCCAACAAGCACAGCAGCAACAGAAGGTCCAACAAGCACAGCACCAACACAAGGTCCAACAAGCACAGCACCAAAAGAAGGTCCAACAAGCACAGCACCAACACAAGGTCCAACAAGCACAGCAGCAACAGAAGGTCCAACAAGCACAGCACCAACAGAAGGTCCAACAAGCACAGCAGCAACAGAAGGTCCAACAAGCACAGCAGCAACAGAAGGTACAAAAAGCACAGCACCAACAGAAGGTCCAACAAGCACAGCACCAACACAAGGTCCAACAAGCACAGCACCAAAAGAAGGTCCAACAAGCACAGCACCAACACAAGGTCCAACAAGCACAGCACCAACACAAGGTCCAACAAGCACAGCACCAACTGAAGGACCTAGAAGCACGGCACCAACAGATGGTCCAACAAAGGCAGTGCCAACAGAAGGTCCTACAAGCGCAATACCATCTAATGGTCCAGCAAGCACAGCACCAAAGGAATATTCTGTCACTGAAATGAGTCTGATGGATTCAAGAGCTACCTCAGTCCCAAAGACAGCATCTACTCCTGCTCCAGTGAAACCAACAAAAAGAACCATTCAGCCTAGTACACACAAGAATGACAAATCTGACAGTATTAAAGATTATCAAGCTGGTAAGATCTTTCATGCCTCATATTCATTGTAGCAAATTTTGTTCCTACTAAGAGCCTTCATGGTTTCCAGCTGAACACTGCCGACACTCAAATACTATCATGAATATTTTAAATTCCATATATTATAAAAAAAGATGTTTTGCATAATTTTGATTATTAATTTTGTCCCCAGATGATTATGACACTAACCTCTGCAGTGGGCGTCCAGTCAGTGGTCTGACTACACTGAAAAATGGTACCATTGTGGTGTTCAGAGGTCAGCACATTTGCTTTATAGCAGCACTTATTTTGGTTCAAAGCATTTATATTTTGCAGTTTTTAAGGATATCACGGAATAGAATTGTGGAATTCACGGAACAGTGAACCAAATGTTCATGAACATCAATGTGTCTCTTTCCCTTTCTTCTCTATAGGACATTATTTTTGGACACTGGACAAATACAGAAATCCTGATCCTCCTCAGTTAATAACAAGGGTCTGGGGAATCCCGTCTCCCATCGACACCGTTTACACCCGCTGCAACTGCATGGGGAAAACCTACTTCTTCAAGGTTCATACACAGACATTAGGACAAAACACTTCATTTCACTACATATATTTATAACAGAAGTGGTGTCAAAAAAAATGCTGGACGACAACAACTGATGTATCCTGTTTGCACATATTTCACAGGGAAAGGACTACTGGAGGTTTGACAACGGTGTGATGGATCATGGTTTTCCCAAACTCGTCAGCCAGGGCTTCGGACAGATTGGTCACATCACAGCTGCTTTATCTATACCCGAGTACAGAAGCAGAAAAGAGTCTGTAATCTTCTTCAAAAGAGGTAAGAATTAGAAGAATATTACATGTGCATGCTGTAAGCACACACTATGGCTGCTTGTTTTTATTAGGTGCGAGTGTCGTCGTTGATTTTTTTTAAATCGATTTCTGCAGGTGGATTGGCTCAAAAGTACACATACCAGATTACTCCAAGTTGTGGGAAAAGAACTCCCGTGTACCCAGCGAGGACAAGAGCCAGACGACAAGCCGGTAAAGTATCACTAGTTTGATTACAAAAATTCCATACAGCATTACAAAAATGTTAAAAAGATTCATTCACATTTAGATTATATAATAATTATAAATTAGACATAAAGGGAGAGGGAAGGTTTGTGTGTACAAGCATTTGTGCAGTTAATAAAAAGTGAAAATACCAAATATATTACTTCTGGCAACAGAAGTTTCCCCAATAAAGCCTCAAAAAGGACATTTTGTTCCAAGTGGGGACTTGGTAAGACAGATGGGAAACTTAAAAAAATTAAGTGAAACAGACCTTTCAGTGTTTTAATTAATTTCAGGAGTTTTTTTTCCTCAGCTGCAGCTCTGGGGCATATGATCAATATTTCGAAGAACTGGAAAGGATTCCCAACCATGGTGACCTCTGCCGTGTCCGTACCCTCTAGGGTGAAAGAGGGGTACAAGTATTATGTATTCTCTCAAAGTGAGTCTAACAACATTCATTAAAACTAGTGAAAAGCTGTTACTGGACTCTGTCCAAGCACTGTTTCCAGTCACATCTAATGAGCTCCTCAACCAGGGTGGAGTTTTGTGTACGTCTATAATTGATCGTATTTGGCTCACTAGAAAAGTTGTTTGTCTGACTAGAATTTTCAATGAAAGCCAGGCTAATGTAGCTCTTGACCAGTGTTATTTTAGTATTTATATGATATTATGTTTTTTTAAATATATTTTGAATGTTTTTTTGTTTTGTTTACAAAATATTTCTATATTGCTTTAATTTGTAGTTGTTGAAATATTTCATTTTTCATTGTTCAGTTTTTCATACTTTAGCTTTATTTCATTTACCAAAAATTAAGTTTTAATACTTATTTATTGCATTTATTACATATTTGTGTTCTTGTCTTTCACAGGAAAGTATTACAGCATAAAAATGGAAAGAGAAAAACCAGTGATCTTAAAACCTGCTACAGGTCCAAAGGAAAACTCAGCAAGCAGCTTCTTCAAATGCCAAGAAACTCAGAAAAACTGAGTCATTCATCTCTTTAACTATACCATAAACAGTGAATTAGATTTCTAGTGATGCCCTCGTCTTATGTGCAATGGAAAAACAGCCTTTGACGGTAATGCTGCATCGTCAGTGACAGAATTAAGGACACACTAAGAATTTCCTTCAAAACAATTTTATTGTACGGATGTAAAATCATTAAAATAACAATGATGGATTGCCTAAAGCATTAAACTAACAAACAACAATTATAATACTTTGACTGAATCCTTGACGTGGAACAAATGTGAGGGTGTGTTCTTTTGGAACTATTAGTTCAGAATGTGTCGTTCCACAACTGCTTCACCTGGCAAAACGACCCCTCACACCCATGACACCTTGTCCACCTACAGCAAGATGTCAAATATACATGATCATGTTAAATCTTACTATGTTAATACATACAGGTTAAAATGAGAAGAAATAAAAATATAATTTGCCACAGTTGGAGAAACTAAAAATGGTACATACTCTTACCCCTCTTTACAAAACTCCGAGAACCACGCCCACTAGTCCATTGTCTGCTAAACCCTGTTCTGGCTTTAGGAGGCTGAGAGCTGCTTGTGTCTGAAAGAGAAAAAAAAAAGAGTTTATAAATCCGCAATGAGATATTTGGGGCGGTCTGCATAATTTTAAGTGTGCTTGTGTGTACCTGCAGAACTAGATGAAGGTTCCTGGCTTGTGGAAGGCAGACTAGACTCATCTGCTGTCTGGGCTGCTTCCTCTGCCTCAGTCTGTGACACAGCCTCAAGTGAAGCTTCAGTACTGTAGAAACATTATTCAGACACAATAATGAGTCCATGGTCTCTCAATCTCTTTGTTTGTGGCACAAGAATGAAAGGAAGTGTTGCACAGGTAGATTTAAGGGCTCACACTCACCTGTCTCCTGCGTCCATTAACATGTCGTCTCTCTCCTCCATCCCACTAGTGCCTGCAGGAGCGCTGAGGCCTGGTGTGGAGGTGCTCACTGTGGGCACAGACTGAGAAGCAAGCTCATTTGCTTCAGATGGCAGAGTCTCTGATAAAATTGTCACTGAATAGATAAAAAAAAAAAAGATGATTTAACCGATAAAGTAGTACAGCAATGAGAATAAGGTCTAAAAATGTCATGAAGAATATTGAAATTATCTTGAAATGGCTTGTGTCATCAATTTTTGGAAAGTGAAGCAAAAGTGACCATTGCATAATCCAGCACTTTTCCAGATTTTTTTCAAATAGGAATTTTCCAAGAGATCTTACATTTAGATTTTTATTATGAGTATATATTCAAATGTTTATGTACACGTTTCTGAAAGAATTCTCTTACGCTTACCATGGCTGCATTATTTGATCAAAAATACAGTAAAAAATAAATATAACAAGTAATACTGTGAAATTACAATTTAAAATAACATTTCGATTCCTGTGATGGCAAAGCCGAATTTTCAGCATCGTTACTCCAGTCCTCAGTGTCGCATGATCCTTCAGAAATCATTCTAACATGCTGATTTGGTGCTCTTGCTGCTTAATATTGTTGTGAAAACTGATACTTTCAGGATTCTTTTAGAAAAGGAAAGTTCAACAAAAAGCATTTATTTATGAGAATAACATTTTCTGTAACATTATAAATGTCTTTACGGTCACGATTGATCAATTTAATGCATCCTTGCAAAATAAAAGTATCAATCTCGTAAAAAAAAAAAAAAAACGGTAGTGTATAGTGGTAGTGTATATATCATCATTGAAAAGGGAATACTTTGTTTCCTAGATATCACAATCAGTTTGAAAAAAACATATTTTGAACATTAATTTCAACTAAAGAGGAGTTGTCAAAGAACCCCAAAAAGGATGCGTGATTTTAAACATACCAGGAGCAGCGATCTGTAGTGGGGTTGTGGGGACACTGCGGCCCCCTGACTCCTCCTCATGAGCTCCAAGGAAAACAGAACTATCATACATGCCTAAACCGGCAAAACACAGAAGACACCATGAAAAAACTAACCAATATTTGACAGAAAAAGCAGTTACTGAGTTGTTCTTTCAGATTCAACATCATAAGGTAATGCATGCAACCTTGTGAGGGCAGCTGGACAAGGTCAGAGTGAGAGGAGCTGGTCTGCGGGAGGTCATCTGAAGGACCGAATCGGAATCGTGATACGCCTGCGACCTGTGGAGAACTTTGTACAACAGAAAAGAAATCAGTCACGTTGCAAGAAACAAACAAGCAAACCAAAGTATAAAAACAAGGAAACGCACTGGATTGCTTCCGGAAATCCATCCGAACGCGGAGGAATGAGTGTAGGGGTACTGGGAACCATCCTGTCATCGTCCTCAAAGAAATGCTGCTGATGTGAAAGAGGAAAACGATGACACTGGGGATTTGACGACAAGCATTCAAGCTCAGGTGCAAACCACACAATCTAACCAAGTCCTAAAAGGCGACTCACTGCACTACTGGCCATTCCAGAGGTAAGCTGAAGTCCTCGTCCCACTGACTGCCGACGAACTGGGAGACGCTGCAGACACATGCAAGTTTTTTTTTCAACGCACACTCGAGGCAATGCCTAACATCAAACCACAAAGAAAAAAAAATCCTCAGGCTATGCCAGTACACACCTGGACTTGAGCAGGAGGTCCCAACTCCTGAGAAGGTTGGGCCAAGATGTTAAGTCGAGGTGGCAGAGGATGTTGAGGTCTCCTGGGTGATTGTGGAGGTCGAGGAGCAGAGCTGGTGACCGGTGCATCAAACATCTCCAATGTGCTTGTTTCAACTGAGACGTCACATATAGAAGAAAGGAAAGAGAAGGCACTTCTAAAACACCAACAACTGACTTTCTGAAGCTTGAATGCCTCAATCCCATTCAATGTAATTGCATGGAAAAGATCCTTTCAGACAGACGGTTAGGTCACGGTCACGCTGACTTACAGCTCTGAGAATCTGCCATGCGTTGGGTGGAGTCTGTCGCTCCAATACTTTCCTCCGTCTCAGTGCCTGGATCTGTGGGATCGGGGCCCTTGGAAAGGATGGTGTGGAAGGTAAGGGAGGGGGGGAAAGAAATAGCAGGAAGAACATTTCTAGTTAATTTCCTGAGCATTACATTTTGATTTAACATACACACAAAGAACAATTGTCCCAAGCTATATTTAGCAAAATGGGTTTAAACATTTTTATTAGCATTAAAGGGTGCGCAGTCAAACTGAGCCTGTTGTGCTAGCTACACGACAAGTTACGGTTGGATCATTAAAATGGCTTGAGCTAGCTTATATAGACCTCTCTAAATTTAAGTCCAAATATAGGTGTTTATGCTGCACAAAAAACAATGTACTACAGTTGGTTAATGGGAAGAGGAATTTACTGAATGTCAATTCATAGATAGACTAATTTAATTTCTTCATGTAAATGGATAACAAGTTTTGCCACAAAAAAAGAAAACAAAACTTGATGACAATTTTAGACTAATTATCCAACTAATTAGATTTTCCCCCCTTAACTAATTAATTTAGAGATATACATTACCATAAAAACGTTTTTTTTTTTTTTTTTAAAGAAATTAGCACTTTTATTCAGCAAGGATTATTTAATTGATCAAAAGTGACAGTAAAGACACTTATAGTGCAACAAAATATGTCCATTTTTAAATAAATGCTGTTTCAAATAAATTAACCAGCAAATGAAAATATATGTTTCTTAAACATCAAATCAGCATATTAGAATGATTTCTGAAGGATCATGCGAGACTGGAATAATGATGCTGAAATTTCAGCTTTGCACTACAAGAGTAAACTACATTTTAAAATATATATTTTAATTTCATAAAGCTGACAATTTTGCTGTATTTTTGATTAAATAAATGCAGCCTTGATGAGCATAAGATACTTCTTACAAAATTATTTTAAAAAAAACTAATAACCAATTTGGTTAATATCTAATGTTTGTTAGAATTTTGTATATTTTAGGTTAATAATTAACTGGTTAACCGAAAGTAAGAAATTTGACCGATTCATGATCGGTTGAAAGTAATTTTTCAAAATATTTTGAAAACATGATACATGGTTAAAAAAAGAAATATTATACACAAAACAGTTTTTGAGAGAGAGAGAGAGAGAAAAAAAAAAAATCATAAGTTGGATTTAATTCGGATTTTGTTATTACATGTATAGGGGCTACCGGTTAAAAAAGCTAACAAACAGGATTCCTACACATTTTCAATTTCAAAAATCTTTTTTCAAATTCAAATTTCCAAACCTATCCATATATTTTTGAGACCACAATTAAGCATTATGTTTGTTATATAGTAAATATTTTGATTTTCTCTTTTTCTCCATTGATTTTCTCAAAGTGATAGCGTCAGTAAAATTGTATATCCTGCATATTCATATCTGACACACATTATTTCACCAAACATCAAAGCATAGTCTGATTTAGTTGATGTTCACGCTGAACACCACAGATTCCACCACAGACTATTTAAAATGAGCAGTGCAACTTATTTTATTTTGATAATGAACAGGCTGCGATGTCAAGTTAGCAATACTAGAACTGCTATGTGGTGTGTGTGTGTGCACGAGGAGTCTGCGTGATCTCTTGAAATGTTTCCTTATAACAGTGGAATCATTATGGTCATACAGATAAGAGTAAGACAAATTGTAAAGAGTCTACTTTTATTTGTGTACACTCACAATATAAACAAAACATTGTGCTTTTGTAAAATAAAGAAAACAAACAGGATGCTGCTTTCTGATGTCTCGGTTTCCTTTCCGTGAACTTGTTTTTGGCACAAAAATCAGCAGAAACTTGGCACACTACTTGTCGCACAGTTATTTCTTTTGTTTTGTTCATCTATAAATTTTTAAGTGACATATTTTGCGCATTTATTCATATTATATATATGATTTTATTCGTTTTTTTCTCCGTTCACAGAAGCGCTGCAGGTGCGTGATGTGACGATGATTCCTCATGTTCTGTTGTTTATGCTGCTATTTGTGCATGTAAAACTAAACCCCTGGAAAACAAATTTTTATATTTTAATGGGTCACAGACACTTATCCATTCTGAATTTATTTCATTCTAATTGAACAATCTTGTCAGTTAATAAGCTTCGATTGTCGGTTTCTATGCAAGATACATACAACATATGCTATATAGTTAATTCAGACTGAAAAATACAATGTATTGATAAAACTAGACTTACAGACGTTTCTTTGAGTTTCTTTCGATTTTAATTATACTTTATAAAATTTAAGTTACAATTCTGCATAATGTTTGCTACCTCAAGTTAAATTCAGGAATTGATATTCTCAACTGAATTCTGATTGGTGCACATCTCTGCTTTGTACCTCTGTGTCGTCTCCCTCGTAGACCTCATTGCCATCTCTGCTGCCGCTCTCTTCGTTGCTCTCTTCTCCCTCTTCCCCAATCCCTCCATCCTCCTCATCATCATCCTCTTCCTCCTCCTCTTCCTCATCCTCCTCCTCTTCATAATCCTAAGGTGCATAAAAACAGTACATATAACAGGATCAAACATCACTGAATTTCAGCAGCGGTGCAACTACAAACCTGCTCTTCCTCCTCCTCTTCTTCCTCCTCCGATTCATCTTCGTGGTCTCCCTCACTCTCTGTGTCACTAACAATGACTATGACGTGGTGATCGGGCTCCTCCGGGCTTCGATGCGTGTCAGAGGAATGAGGCAGAAGTCGATCTAAAGGCACAGACTGAGATGGCCCTGGTTCCACATCCATCATCTCCAAAGTAGCATAGCTCTCCAACTCCTTCACACAGACATGCATATGAAACACCAATTTCTATTGGTTTCACACTTCCACTGTTTGAATAAAATGAGGAAGTTCTACAAACATCCTTCTGTTATTACCTGTACAGCGTCAGGGGCCTCCTGGTTGTCACCTGGTACAACGCCTTCAGCCTCAGTGCTGTCCTCAGCCAACATCTCTTCCTGCAGTACATATTTTATGTTGTACACAGTCTTGACTTTAAAGTAAGAAAATGAAAAAATGGCACCTCGATGATATAATATAATACACCTCACCTCCACCCTATGAATTCGGACCCTCTTGCAAATGGGAGAGTCACTGGGCTCATCCTGGGACTGTGTGTCAGCAGACTCTTGTTCCTCTTCACGGGCGCGTTTACTCAAGGCACTACTAGGAGACGCGGTCACTAAAGCAGGAGGACAAAAGAGCTCATCTGTAGAGTGAAGTTCCATGACAAGAGTTCAGCTAATCTGGTTGAGTTTATAATTGACATTACCTGCACTGGCAGTGCTTGTGCTAGCGGTGGCACTCCATAGCCCCGAGGATGTAGAAAGAGGCCTGTCTAATTGTGAGGTTGGGTGCATTACAGCAGCTGGAGGTTCCTGATTGGATGGTTCAGCAGGGGGTTGGGTTTGTTGTTGAGTGGGCTGAATGAACGCAGTGGCTTGGCTCTGCTGTTGGACATTCAGGAGAGGTTGAGCCAGGTTGGTCTGAACATTAGGGCTGGTGGACCGCACTGAACCGCTGGCACTGCCATAGACAGTCATATGCTCTAGCGGGCTCTCAGATGACTGCATGGCTGGAAGGTCAAGGGGGGAAAAAAAATGTGTACATTGTTAACTAAACTATTAAAAATATTTTTCTTAATGTAAATAACAGAAATAAAACAAATATCATATTAAAAACTTAAAACTAATATTACTAAAACTAAAATAATAGTACAAAATGACAAATTGAATTTAACATCAAATGCAAAAATGTTCAATTTAACATCAATAAATACTATAATTAGTATTTAAAGCTGCAGTCAGGCGTTTTTACTCTGTCGCCATCTCTGTTCGAAATCTGCAATTGCAGTCATTCGTGGAATGATCAACTTGACACGAGTTGTACTTCAACACTCTCGACACGGCACAGCGCGGATGAACACAATGTTTGAGGAGATTGAGGCTGTCAGTCACCTTGCCAGTGTGGATACTGGCATTCACATTTGGATCATTTTTAACCCCAAAAAAGCTATGGACTGCAGCTTTAAACAGTCTGTATTTAAACAAATCAGTGTTATTTTAGTATCATTGACATACCATTATAATTTTTAGTTAAACTAAAAATCTAAAATATTAAGTTAAAGTTTAGTAATTTGTGCATTCACAATTTGTTTTTAATGTCTATATTGTTTTAATTTAGTTGGTAGTTATTTTAAATGTAAACTAACTAAAAATCTGAAATGTTGCCTTGGCAACTAGCTGAAAAAAAATTGAAAGTTTTTCAAAAAATTTTTCAGTTTCTGTTTAACTTTCAAAAACTAAAATTTTATTAAACGATAAGAACCTTAGTCCAAAACAGCCTAACACTTACGCTCTTGGCTCTCCACCTGAGTGGTGGGCATGACTGTAGCAGTGGGTGTAGGAGTGGGCACTGGGGCAGGAGTGATCATAGGTTTGATGCTGGCCCTTGGGGTGGATTTGTTTCCTGGGATGGCTGGAGGCTTGCTGGGGGTTGCCGCCAGTGGTGTGGGCTTTATATTAGCAGTTGGAGGCTCTGAAGTGCTTGCACTATCAAAGGGACAAAAAGAGGATGTAGAGTGGCTTGACTGGAACCATGTTGTGAAATGGTTGACAATTTGACAGCAACTATAAATAAAATGTGCAGGTTACTGTATAGTGCCCTCTAAAAATACCGTACCTTCCTCTTTCTGCCACTGGAGTGGACTTGAGAGAGATCTGTCGCTGTTCTGTTGTCCTTTGAGGTTCCTGGGTCTGCAGACAGAAGAAAAACTAGATAAACACTTTAACATGTAAACTTATTCAGCTATAAGTTTGCAATTGCACAAACGTGTGGTGTTACCTTGCTGGAGCCCTGTTCTGGTTGTTCGTCTCTCTGTTCTCCATGTCTCTCCTGCTGCTCACGGAGGTCTCGCAGCTCCCTTTCCTGTCTGTTCAGACGCCCCTCGTACTGAGACTTTAGTGCACTCACTCGTACTTCCAATTCCTCTTTTTGTTGCTTCAACTCCTCATTTTCTTTCTGAAGCTGACCCTTTACACCTGGAAGTAGTAGAAATTATTATAATTTTTTTTAATTCAGTGTCAAACTACTAGGAACAATTTAAAATAAGGTAAATTCTTACCACTAAGCTGGCTGATCTTCTGCTTGGCCATTACTATGGCCTTCTTGGTCCTCTCCTCCTTGTCACTCAGCTGCTGTTTGAGCCGCTCCTCCTGAGAAGATTTATCTTGAAGCTCCTGTCTAAGACGCATTACCTCCCCCTGAAGGCGAGAGGCCTGTTCCTGTGCACTGCGTGCCTCTGCTTCCCGCTCACCTACAGTCTGCAAAGGGCAACAGAAATCTCACACTATGAGCATCATATTTTCAAAAAGGTAACTAATCATTTCAGTCTGATCTTAAAAGGTTGGGCAGTACGTTTCATTGCAGATTGTTTTGAGATCCAATCACAATATAATGCAGGTTTTTCAAAGAGACGGATGACGGGCACGAGAACCACACTATATTTCACATGAGAGATAAACTACAAAACAAAGAGGGGTTCAGAAAAAGGGTGGAAAATGGTAATAAATATGAATCATAAAAATAAAATGTTATATATTTTTTTTAATATTACAAAACTGATGTAAACAGAAAGGGGGTCAGAGAAAGGGTGGGAAATGAATAAATTTGAAATCACAAAAAAAGTTTAGTTTATAAAATTTTGTTTTATGTTAAACATTTTATATTATTTAAGGATAATAGAATTGGGGGGTGGGGGTGTAATACTTACTCGATTGAGATTCTCCAGATGGCCTTCCAGTTCTCTTGTCCTGTTCTCTGATTGGTTGAGGGACTCTTTGAGGCCCTGAACTTCTTGAACTGATGCCTGTTGTGCCTCTTGATCCTGGGCTGGGGCAGATGCAGCATCGGCTACCGACTGCACAAAAACAATTGAATCATCTGTACTCCAAACTAGGGGTAGAACTGTACATGTATTCGTATTGAACCAAAATGGTACGGGCGTCACGATTCGGTGCATACATTTACACGGAGAATACACAGTATAAAAATAAATAAAACTTGAGTGCAAATGAATTAATGTAATATGGAACTACTGTTACTACTGGAACATGGGTTCTTTAGGGACACATCATCTGGATTTTTGTCATTTGTGTCAGGTCGACAGTCCAGTGAGTGAGTCAGAGATAGCAGAACCAAGGACGAATGTGGCGAGTGGTGGCGATCCACAAGAGTTAGAGGACCCACAAGAGTTGGAGGATCTTAAAGAGGCCGTTGCCTCTTTAAGATCGCAAGTTTTGGAAAAGATAGGTTTCCCAGTCAGTTACAAGTAATTAAACCAGCAAGCTTTAACACTGGGTTACTCACTTGCACGCGCACCCTCTCTATCTCTTGCTCTGGTTCATAAAAAAAAAAATGATTACAGTGCTACTTTATTTTACTTCAGAATTCTAGATCTGAGCTGTAAATGAACGGCAGGGGAAAAAAATCAGAACTATATATATTTTCCGTTTGACCAGCAAAACATTCATGAGTCATGAAAGACAGCTGTAATCTTATCTATTTATCCAACCCATTTAAAACAGTCTGTGGGCATCATCTTTTGGACATTCATCATATTGCATTGGTTTTCATTTCTTGTCCTCAAACAGAGCATAAAAGTTACACATTCTACAATTTTATACAGGAATAAATTATTTATAATTCAGATGAGAATAAAGTTAGTGTTCATTTAAAATTAAGGAAAACGAATATATTGATCTGAAATATAGTAAATTAAGTTATTATGAATGAATAACAACAACATTATTATAATTAATTACTCAAATATACTAATACACTAGGTGGTACAGCCTGAGACATGCACTTTTTGTTTTGCCTTTCCCTCCATTGTACCAAAGTCGTGATGTCTGAACCGAACCGTGACTTCTGTGTACTGTTACATCCCTACTCCAAACACATATTTTCATTTTCTTAAGTCATAAACCCTGTCTCACCTTGTCATATTTAACCTTGAGCTCCTCATACTGGGTTTTATAACGCCGACCAATCTTTTTAACTTGTGTGATGGTTTTTAGTTTCTCCTGGATGTCCACATTTTTGGCCTCCTGGTCTTTCTTCAGGTTGTCCCTCTCCACCATCACCTTCCCCAGGTTTTCCCTTAGGTTCTGAACCTGAGACTGCAGCATAGTCACAGAGCTACCACTCCTGCAAAGAGCAAGAAAACGTGACATGCATAAAATACAGCAATACACGCGGATAAAAAGTCATTTTTTAAACCTGTGAAATTTTGCACTAACCTGGCAGCCTCAGCTTTAAACCGGCTAGTCTCCTCAACAAGCTGCTGGATGCGTTTGAGATGTGCTTCCCTCTCAGAGTGCATGCGCTTGTACTCTTCTGGGTCAGTGTCTTTCTGCTGGCTTACCAGGTGCTAAACCCCACAAGAAAGTATAATCAGGACCCAATTATTTTCAATGACAAACGCATAGTTTTTAATACACAGACTAAATTCATACCTGAGTGCGAGCTTTCCAGCGTTTGATGTCTTCTTCCAGAAGCTTCTTCTCTGCCTGTAGCATACCACTCTTCTCACTGAGCTCTGCATTGGACTCCTGCATAGGCAATATGTCCAACTCCATTTTACGCACCTGTAAACCATTATGAAAATAACATTTAAATCAATTGCACTGTTAGATTTACAAATTTAATTGTTGGTTACGCAGTTTAATAACAGTGCCTTGCCTTGGCTTGAGTATCCTGCAGCTCCTGCTCCAGTTTCTCTTTCTCCTCCCTCAGCATCTTATTAGTCTCCATTAGCACATTCATGGTCTCCGTCTTCTTCATGAGCTCATCATGCTGGGACAGAGTCTTTGCAGTCACCTTTAGATGATAAAACAGGCTGAGTAACAGGCACAGGCAAAAAAAAATATAATGAATCTAGTAACTAAGGCAGTTAACTAGTATAATTGATCAGCAATAAAATAGAAAGTATCTTTCTCCAAGCAAACCTGCATCCTCTCTCTCTCTGCACTAAGACTCTCCTGAACATCCTTCAGCTCTCTTTCCAGATGCTCCACTCTCAGCCGGTGCCTCAGACTCTCCCCCTGGACCACCTCAAACCGAGACTCTGCGATCTCCTTTTCCCGTCGCACAAACCTGCAAACCAAAGGAGAAAAAGAGATTGCCATGAATGAGAAAACAAGAGAAATAATAATCATACTTTCTTCTCAAATCCACTTTACTCCATCTAATATATTTTTAACATTTTCTCTGCACAATCAACCCGCTAAGGACACACTGGCAAAATAATTGTCACTGGCAAGTAATTTTTGTTTAATCGCTAGACTTTAGGAATAGATATTTACCATTTCAAACGGTTTTCTAAACTTATACTTAGCTTTAACCACTGGTCAGCCAATGGCTAACGACAGATTATTTAGCCACCTAGGGCAAAATCTGGTCACATATGCAAGTGATTTAATCGCATTGAAGAGGGTTGACAATAAAACTACTGAAATTATTTGTATAGGTCAAAAGACCGACATTCACCTGAGTATTTCCAGGAGTTGATCCTGAGACTTGCCCTCCTCAGTCAGAGAGACGTTGAGAGGACTCTCATTGGCGGCTCTCTGTAGCTGACTGGCCATCTGTCCACTCAGAGTCTGTATCTGCTCATGGAGGAGTGTGTTCTGCCTTTGCAGATCTTCACAGCGAGACTCTATCTTACACTGCTCCTCCTGATGTGGAGAGAAATAAAATGAGTAAATGCTATTAATACTTCTATGAGATGCTTTTTTGCGATTCCTTTACCTTGAGAATCTTTTCTTGCTCTTCCCAGGAGACACGAGCCTCCAGCAGCTGTGCGCTGGTGCTCTGAACTTTCTCCTCCAGCTGCTGTCTGAGAAGAGACACCTGCAGAGCCTGAGCTTTGGCAGCCTGCAGTGCTTCCACGTTGGCCGCATGCAACAACATTTCCCTCTCATATTTATCCTGCGCCTCAGCTGCCATCTTAGCCTGCTGCTGACTGTCCAGGATGGCCTGCTGCTCCTGTGCAGCAGCAACAGAAGCTCTCTCAAGGACACTCTTGTGTTCTGACTGCAGGCTGCTCAAAGACTTCTTCAGCTCACTCAGCTGGGATAAAGGATTAAGAGTCAAAGTCAAATTCAGCCTCTAAACACACAATATTCATTTAGAACATTTAAGATGAACACTAACAACCCATTCATCAACTTGAGCCACCAGGAAAATGACAATGAACTACAGTAGTCAACATTTGAAGTGGATCAAAACCTTTCATCAAATTTATACATGAATTTTGAACAATACCTGTTCTTGTCTTAGGACAACTTTGATTTAAGTTTTCTGATCCACTTCAAATGTTGACTACTGTACATCAGAGGATTTTAATCGTTTGGATGCAAAGAAAATCCAAATATGATGCAAAATTATATTGGAAATGGAATATTATAAAAAGTTGTTGTTTTTTCCATAGAATTTTTTTTTATAATTTAAATCAAATTTGTATTAATTTATAAATTGTTTTTTAATAAATTTTCTATGGACCCCTTAGCACTTCCATTTGGCCCTTTGAAAACACCTGAACTGCATCATAATTAATTTTAAGAAAGACTGATTTGGTGCAAGATACCTTGAATAACATACTGTAAGTGAGCAGATAGTAGTAGAGGCGGAAATTAATTACCTCTTGTTCCACAGCAACAACAGCTTTGTTTTTCTCTTCCTGCAAGCTCTGCTTCACCTTATCCATTTCCAGAAGTTTCTGCTCCAGCTGTTTATACTGCTCTGAGCTTCCTCCATCTGGGTTTCCACAGATGAACGCACCTGCTCGGTTACCTAAAAGAGTACAAATTTAGAAAATAGTCAAACAAAAAAAAAAAATTCAAGTTAACCTCAATCATTTCTTAAAATGTCCCATGGCCAGTTTCTTTCTTATTGTCTTTATTCTTATGGGAGGTAAAGTGTGATACATTAGACTGTAGAGAAAAGTGATTTTTATCATTTCACACCCACCTGTTTCTCTTTATCCAGGGATTCCTCCAGGCTAAGGCTAATGGCTTTGTACTGCTCCATACTGTCAGTGGTGTTCTTCAGTCGCTCTTCAAGCTCTTCTACCTTGTTCTCAGCCTGCTTCAGCTGGGCACGCAGAGCCTCCATGTCCCCCTCACCACCCTGCAGGCCTGGATGGGGGGTGGGGGTACTTTAGAAGGTGTCTTTTCAACAAAACTGCTCTGTTCTTCAAAGACTAATGGAATGTTAGGTAAACTAAACAAAATTAAAATGTAAGAAGTGCTCTGATACCATGTTAGTCATGAGCACAGTCTCTCACCTGTATGAACTGTCGGGGAAACCAGCCGGGTCTCCCCACTACTGATCTGAAGCCTCAGATTGTTAAGCTCAAGTTGGGCAGCACCCAACTGTTCTCTTGTCCTGTGGTGCTGAGCTGTTTGTGTCTCCAGCTTCTTCTTAGCATCCATCAGCTGCATCTGTAATGCAGAAGAATGTCAAAGACAAGAAAATGAGCCAATATAGGAATCATGAGGAGAGAAGAGAGTGTGAAAGAGAAGTTTCTCACGTCTTGATTGCGTGCCAGCAAGTGCTTCTGTTCCACCTCATTCTCGAGTCTTTTCTGGAGCTGAGCAATCTCTCGCTCCTGCTTCTCAATCTGAGCAGTCAGCCGCTGTCTGGTCTCAGTCTCAGAGCGCTCTAGAGTTGCCTGCAAAAATAATTCATAGATGCAACAAGTTCTTAAAACGTCCTTTGTGAGACCCAGATTGTCTATCACAGTTCGAGATGATTCATTATAGTCACCTGTATTGATTTGAGGTTGGTCAGTAGCATGTTCTGGCCGAGCTGTTGGGCCTGGAAGATCTCTTTCTCCTGGGTCAGTCTGATCTCCACCATCTTCAGCATGTCTCTCTCTTTACGCAGGTTTGCTGCTTCAGACTGAAACAGAGACATAGAAGATTGATTTAGACAGAACTAACAGTCGTCAGAGAAACCTGTGACTAGTGTGCAACAACACACCTCAGCAATGGTGAGTTTCTCGGTTGCTGCTCGCCGGTCCTGGGTGAGGGTGTGTATGGTCTGTTCGCTCAGCTGAATTGCTGCAGCCTGTTTCTGGGTCTTCTCATTCAGAGAGGCAATCTCCTTACGGTATCCCTCCACATTATCCTGGAGCATCTCATACCTGACATACACACCACAAAGACAAATCAAGGATTCTACATTTTTTGTGTGAGGGGAGGGTGAGAAACATGAGGATCAAAGGACTGTATGACTTGATACCGTTTAGAGGTGAATTCCAGCTGTGTGGAAATCTTGGTGTTTTCAGATCGAAGTTCAGTTACTTGATCCTGCAGTTTCTCACTTTGCTCAGTCAGAGCCTTTTCAGACTCATTTTTTTCCTTCTTATAGGCCACAAAGATTTCCTGAAGCTAATCAAACACACAAAACAAATGATTAAACTATTTTTGTCAAAATGAAAATTAAAGGAAGGCTAAATGTAAAAACAACACTAATAATGTTAACAATAAATAATGTTAATAATAAATTAACACTTTTTCAGCAAGATGCATTAAACAAATAAAGTGACATTGAAGACATTTATGTTACAAAAATATTTTTTATTAAAATGCCATTTAATGCAACTTTATACTCAAATAACCTACCTGCTTCAGTGCAGCCTTGGCCTCTACTGACTCAGTGGATTCTATCGCCGTGGCATCCAGTCCTGTAGGGGTGCCTGCAGTAGGTGTGACGGCTGGAGAACGGCGGGGAGTGGAGGTTAGAATAAGCTCCTCAGCAACAGCACCTGTCACAGTAAAAGTATAATCAATCATTGTGAAACTTTCACATTATGGCATCTTGAACTCTCTCAAATATTCACAAAAAAAAATCAATGATTACGCTGGCGATATGCAACATTGTGGTGTTGCTTTTCATTAGCCCATATCAATAAACTAAAAAAGTTACCCTGTGGAAAGGTGACTCCAGTGGCCTGGGTCAGAAGCATGCGGAACATGTCCCTCTGTCGTGCCACAGCGTCAACCTTCTGCAGGTCCTGAGCTCTCTTTTCCTTCAGCTGCTCCAATTCACGTTGAAGATCCTCGAGATATTTCTCCACCTCACTGCGTCTGAACACACACTCGGCATTATGCTTTCTTCATCGATATTTAATCAGATTTTTCAGTTGACATATCCACTTACAGTACATCACACACTTACTTCATGGTGTCTACCTCCAACTCATCCTTCTCTTTAGCCTCGCTGAGGTCTCTGAGTGCCACTAGGAGTCGCTGGTTCTGCTGTTGCAGCTCTTCAATACCACGGAAGGTGACCAGGTGCTGAGAAATCACCTCCGAAGTGCTGCTTACATCTGCTGAACACATCTCATCCTCCTCACGCATCACATGGTTACCACGTGCTTCCTCCAGCTCAATGAGGAGGACCCGCACCTGAGATAATGATGTGAAAACAACAGGATTTTAGATTATTTGGCAACACTTTACAATGTCTCATTTATTAAAATTAGTTAATCCATTTACTAACACTAAGAAAAGTTAATTTCTATAAGAACATATTGTTCATTTTTAATGTTAAAAAAATTCAAATTCATGTTAGTTCACAGTGCACTACCTAATGTTACCACAACTTAATAGATACATGTTTTAATCGTAATGTATTATTAAACTTTAAAATTAACATTAAAGGGATTGTTCACACAAAAATTAACTCATCCTCAAACCAGCAAGGCTTTAGTTCATCTTCGCAACACAAATTAATATATTTTTGACAAAGTCTGAGAGCTTTCTGTCCCTCCATTGACAGATACACAACTGAAACTGACACTTCGGTTAATAAAGAGATCGTAAAATTAATCCAAATGAACTGAGCAGTTTAGTCAATTTTCTGATGAAACTCGATCACTTTATATGTTGAACATATTGAATTTAGGATTTTATTCACATATAAACATTGATCAGCGAACAAACAGAAGCTCAAATGAATCTGCTTGATGTACTAGAACAAACCTCTTACAGAAACTCAGACCAGGCATGTGATTGGCTAAGGACAAAAAAAGCAGGAAAATATACTGAGACACCACAATTTATATGGGTCAATTTTACATTCTCTCTATGACCTTTTTGAAGAGTTAAAGTGTCAGTTGCATAGCTGTCAATGGTGGATAGAAAGCTCAGACTTCATCAAAAAGATCTTTGTGTTTCGAAGATGAACGAAAGTCATACATGTTTGGAACAACATGATTAGTGAACTAGTTCACTTTAAATGTGGTTAACATGAAACTTTGAATAATCATTTGTCTCATATAAGGTATTGATGTCTAAGCTGTGCCATTTGACTACCTGTTGAGCCATGTCAGCCAGCTGCACCTCAAACCTCTGGTTATCTCTCTCCAACACAGATGCACGTTTGTTGACTTCATCTGCTTCTTTCTGTCGGCGGTGGACCTCCTGAAAGATTCAAGAATAGTCATATATTTGGTTTCCTAAGTGCAAAGCAATCATTAGTCAGCATGTATTGGCAGTGTGACATGTAGTAACTGACTCCTCCATTCTCACCATGACAGCTTGCTGTAGTTTAGAAGACAGACTGGAAACAGACTTTTGCGTGCGCTCATACTCCTCACTCTTTCTTTTCAAGATGGGTGCCTTTGCTTCCATCTCCTGCACAATATCATCCAGGTACTTGTTCAGTTGTTTGGTCTCTAGTTTCTCCCGTTGTAGTTGTTCTTGAGTCTCTACATATGCTGTATATATCTACATAAAATAGGAGAAAGTATATAACTTCTGAATACATACTTTGCTTTAGCATCACAAAAATCAGAATGTAGGTCAGCACCTCTGTGAGTTTCATGCCTGGTTTGATTTTAGCAACTGCAGCTGCGGTGGGGGACATTGTTGTCACATGCTCCTCTGCAAGAATTGAAGCAGTTCCTGGAGTGGCAAAAAACAAAACAAAAACACTCTTTAAAGTGATACCTTTAAAGTGAGTTGCAAACCACTGCCCATAAAACAACAGAATGAACAAAAATAAAGAATTTTCGAAATCTTGCAAAGCAACAAATTTACAAATACAAATTTACATGCTAGAGAAGCAGGTGTGTGATTAGCTAAAAACAAAAATGAAGGAAAACCTGTTTTCTGAAAACTTATTTTCTTTGCATTTAACCACTGAGCTTTTATTTTGGCAGTGAACCACAGGGAGACCTTAATGTTCACTTTGTTAACAACAGATTTATAAACAATTCTCATTACGAATTTGTACACAGCACTTGCAGAGTAGCATTTACTGTGGATAAAGCATTTAAACAAACAAACATTTTGTTTCAAACGATTTGATGATCATCAAACCAAGCCATATCACATTCCCGAACCATGCATTGTCAATTTATAAAGTTATTAGCATCTGGCAGGTAACACTGTTTCAACGGCAATTTTTACTCGCATTTGGGGGTTTTAAACCTGGCTATACTAAGAGTGTCTCACAGTTTGCAACACAATTTCATGCAGCTCTGTAAGAAGCAATCCGTGCATAAAATAAATGTGTTTAGAAATTGTAACATTCTGCAGTTTATGTATGTACGTTTTCAATCATCATGTAGTAACCAGCCTACTCTCCCCAACCAAACCATTTTTCATCAGATTTATGCAATTCGCATAAATATGAAAATCCTTATGAAAAAAAAAAAAAATTCCCTGTAGAAGGTAAGGAAATACAGTGGTGAGGCTAACCTCTGTGTTTGGTGTCTGACAGCAGCTCATTTGCATTTTCAAGCTCTTTCTCCTGGCTGCTTATTTTCCCTTTCAGTTCAGTGATTTCCTTATCTTTACGACCCTCCAGCTCTGCCATCTTCACTTCCAGAGCTTTGTGCGCTATTCAGAGTAGACAGGACATTATTATGGGCATTTGAAGACAACAGAATAAAGAATAAAATTTGCCATAAAAAGATCACTTCAATTCAAAAGTTTGGGGTCAATAGGATTATTTTGTTTTTGAAAGATATCTCTTATGCTCACCAAGGCTGTGTTTATTTGATCAAAATGAAAAAAACAGTAATATTGTGAAATATTATTGCAATATTAAAAAAAAACTTGTTTATATACACAACTAATTCCTGAAAAAGCTGAATTTTCAGCAGCCATTATTCAGTCTGTCACATGATCCTTCAGAGAGCATTCTAATTGTTTGCTTTGATTTGGTGTTCAAGAAACATTTCTTACTATTACCCATGTTGAAAACAGCTGTGCTGCTTTATATTTTTGGTGGAAACAATGATGCATTTTTTTCTTAAGATGTCTGATAAATAAATTCAAAAGAACAGCATTTATCTGAAACAGAAATAAATTTAATGCATCCTTGGTGAATAGAAGTAGCCTACTAATTTCTTTCAAAAACAAAACATCGTAGCCTCCAAACAGTACGGTATTCCACAATGCCTGGATCTACAAAAAAAGACAGGTGTAGGCCTGTTGAGTTTACTGGTCAGAAAACTGAAACTGTCACATGCATGTTGACAACCATAAGGACCATTAAATTCGCTTACCCTCTCCGGCCTCTTTAAGTAGCTTATGAAGCTCCTCAACAGCTCTGCTGAGCTCCTCACCCTTGGCCTCGGCATCAGCTGCTGCTCCCTGTGAATCATCAACAGAACTCCAACAGTAATTCTTAGCAATATCATTAAGAACTACATTTGATTTTAATGATAAAACATGCTTATTATTTTTATCATACACTTAAATTCTTCAAGCAATTAAAACTTACCTTATACAAATTTGAGAGCTTGATATTGGCATTGAGTTCATTACTGAACTTCTCCTCCAAACTGGCTTGCTGTTCTTTTGCCTAAAAGTACAACATGCCCAATTGATTATGAAGAACTCTAAAACCCCATTCAGCTGATAACTACAGCGATGGATAACATTGTCTAACCTCTCTCATCTTGGTGATCATCTCCTCTGCTTGCTTCTGAAGGTTCTCATTGGATGCCTTCAGACTGGTCACCTGATCTTTTAGGTGGGTGATCTACACAGACATGCAGAGATAAGCACACAGACTAGAACCTTCAACACATTTCAAAACATATCCGACAAAATTACAGATAACTTAAAATACATACAAACAATATATAAAAGGTACAGCACCTCATCCTCCTTGTTATTAAGGTTGCATTGGAGCTCCAGTATCTCATTGCCTCTCTGCCGGGAAAGAGACAGCAGCGCTTCGCTTTTAGCCTTAAGCTCGGTGTTCAGCCAGGTTACTTGACCCTGAAGTAGATCTTTCTCCTGCTCCATTCGCTGCTCTTTATACTGGAAGACAAACAGCATATAAAACATCATGGTATAAAAATATAAACTTGTTCTAAAGAAGACAACACTGTTTGAATTCAGACAAATATAGCTGTAAAAACAGTGAATTACAAATGGACTAGCTAGTATGATAAATTTTCAAAAAGTTCAATATTGGTGAAGAAACTGATCCAGGTATTAGATCAATGCATTCCTATTAATACAGTTCTTTTTTTTTTTTCTTTCAATCATACCTTGATTGAGACCTCAGAGGCTTCGGACCCATCCAGTTTTAGTTGAAGCTGCATCCTCTCAGCATTGACTTCCAACAATCTATCATTAAGACGTTTCAGGTCCTCTAAAAAAAAAAAGAAAAAGAAGAAAATGAGTGTATTATACAATACTGTTCAGAAAGGACACATTAATTTTTTCAGTACAGAATTTCTTTTATACATACATTTCTGTTTCAAATAAAAGCAGTTCTTCTGCACTTCTAGTTTCAACATAAAAATAACATTTTTTTCTTGCGCTCCAAATCAGCATATTCGAATTTCTGAAGGATCAAGGTGACATTAAAGATGGGATTAATGACTGATAAAAAAAACTATAATAAATAATAATTAAATTATTGTATTAATATTTCACAAATAATGTTGTTTTACTGTATTTTGTCTTCAAATAAATACAGCCTTGGTGAACATAAGATACTTGTTTCAAAAAAACACTTTTTTTTTTTTTTTTAAATCTGGCCGCAACATTTTGGTATGTAAACAAGCCGTCAAGTCCAAACATGAACCTTCTACTTAACCTGTGAAAATTTATTTTATAAATGTTCATTAAAGAATGCTTATTAATTAACTTACCACTTTGTTGTTCCATCTCCTGGGATCTTCTTTCCAATGTCCGTACAAGCTCTCGTTTTTCTGCCTCAAGCTCATCTTTGGCTTTAGAAAGTTCATTCTGCACAAAGAATGTACAAATTTCACTATTCTTCAACATCCCAAAATGCAAGATTAGACAGACTGACTCAGTTACACAATATTTCGTTACCTGTTGTGATTCTAGTTTTGTGTATGAAGAAGCTTGCTCCTTATTATTGTCTCGTAAGGATTTCAGCTCTTCTTCTGTAAAAGAAGAGTAAGTTACAAATACAAAATTAAGTCTGGTATTATTTACCAAAGAAGAGGCATTTGATTACCACATGCTTACCAAGTTTGCAGTAATCTTGTTTCAGGATCTGATGCTCTTGGGTCTGGGACACAAACTGAGACTGACTTTCAGCGAACCTTTTCTCGATGTCAAAATATTGTTGTTCTATGAAACAACCCAACAGAAGGAATCAACACGCATACAAACAAGTCGCCGGTTAACGTTATAAATGTAACGTTAGACAGAAGACATTTCCTGAAATACTTAGAGATCTATTTAACAAGTTTAATATATGTTCACAACATATAGTTTGGAGAACAATATGTCCAAGTGCGAAAAACAAAGTTTAAATTAAGATATTAAGACTCAGGCCTCGTTTGTGAGTTTTTCGTTTGTGGCTATGAACGGTTAAAATCTATTAAAACAACATAGCCTTACCACTATCCACACGGTATTGCTCCTGTTGTGCCTTCAGAAAATCTACTTCACATTGCTGGTCAGAAATGTACTTCTCTAATTTAGTCAATACAGTTTTCTGGAGTTTCGATATCTCCGACCGCTCCAATATTTGCTGCAACACAGCCGCCATTTTTCGTTCCAATGACTCCTCCTCCTTCGCGTCACACGCAAACGTGCTTATCCACAAGTTTCCTACGCCCCATGAGGCCTTGCGTCAAAAGTGGGCGCGACTTCCGGTTGGAAGTAAACAAAACGCAACTTGACATGCTTAACACTCGTTCATTAACAGTTGACAGTCATTCAAGTTATAGCGATCCAAACTAGATAACGATGTGGGAACACAACCTCAACGAAATTAAAAAGGGTGAAATAACACTACCTTTACCCTCTGCAGTAGTTGGTTGGGAGTATTATAATAACATTATTAATTATCAATACTCATCAAGGCATCGTGACAGACAGATGTGCGAGCTGACAAACAATTCAAATAAAAAAATACACACTTAGTCATTGTGCTTTGGAGTTTATTCAAAATTATAAATGAATGTGCTGCTTGAATACATTACTGGCACATTTGGTATTCTGTCAACACAGGCTTTGATCCTGAGTTTAGGTGTAACATCAGTAGCGAACAGCCAATCACATGCTGATAGAGTTTATAAAATATAAAGAATTAAAAAAAAATGTACACAGGAAGATTCGTCGTCTTTTGGGAGGTGATGGAAACTAACGTTACGGTCGTTGGCAGGATCAGAGACGGGCTCTGGCATGATCACTCGTTTTCAGCTTATGTTCAAAACAATCACGTTTAAGCCACTGAACTAGTTTAGTCCGGTTATACATACTACCGCGAACAGCACATATTGTCCCTGAGCTCCGTAACGACATCTCTCATAAAGATTTGCCTCTTTAAATAGTAAAATAATTCTCCGAAAAACAGCTAGCATCTTCGCTAACTAACACACAAAATACCATTGGAATGCTACTTCCGCCGCGTCACCGGAAGTTTCACCCACTTTATTTTTTACTGGAGCGCCCCTCGGAAACTTGTGGATACTATTTCCTATGAGGAAAAAAATGGCCGTTGGCCCATAGTCAACACAAACGACTGTGATTGCTCCAGCCTGACTATGTAAGAGAAATATAACTTTGGTCTGTCTGGTACAAAATATATTGTATATGGCTATGGTCTGGAAGCAAGCAAAATCATCTCGAAAATTCTCAATAAAGTGTGATGATGTTCACGGTCCTACAAAGATATGAACACTAGAGGGAGATGTACGCTAGTCTATGGTCTCAAACATGCACTGCTGACTGCTGTTCAAGGTCAATAAATAAAAAAAAAACAATAGAACATAGTAAGGCCAACCTTGACGATTGGAAAACAGTTTCACGTGGACAACCTTTCCCTTAGTTTCCACATTTTGTTTAAATATTTGTAATGCGGTTAAATCTGAATAAACCTGGTTGTCACTTCTCTCTCTGTTTTAATTAAATTTTTTGTTCCCTTTTTTGTCCCTTTACTCTACTTACTGCCCATAAGTTTTGATGATTAGCCTAAAGTCAAATATCACTACAATGAAATGCACAAAATAATTAAAACATTCCAATAAGTAAAATGTAGGCTATTTATTGTAGATTCATGGATTGATTTAAAACAATAAGAATAAAGTGTTCAGTGTGTTAACATAAAATGAGGGAAACTCTGGGTTTTCCATTTCATAATGGGTGGGAGGTATGCCAATGCCAACCCCCCAAGAAAGCAGGTATAGCCTAAGTGAAGCCCATTTCTGAAAAAGAGGTAACATACTCATTTACCATGGTAATTAGGCTACTCTGTGAAAACCTGGTCGGGAGCTGGTTTCCTTCGGTGAATCCACAGTCTTCTCCCCCCTTTTAAAGCATAAATGGTATTTAAATAGCCTTCATTCATTCATTCATTCATTCATTGCACACATTTGTCACACTGAGACTGTCTAAAATGCATGTAGGTTTTTTTTTATAAGATGAAGTTTACATAACCCCAAGTTATTAAATTAAAATTAAACAAGATTGAGTTTACATCATGATTTTTTTAATTCAACTCTGGCATTTACTGAATATCATTGAACTGTGTTCATCTTTGCTGCAGAATTTCATGATGTTGCTCCAAGCTGTTCTGTCACACTCTGTAATATATACTGTATATATATATATATAGGCCTATATATATATATATATATATATATATATATATATATATATATAAAATGTCTGTTTATAGATAAACTGACACTATGCTACACAGAAATATGAATGTGTAGATTGTCTGATGTGTAGACACACATTTAACATTTCCTTTGTAGGCCTCTCTGTGGTAGCAAACACTATTTCATCATCCCCACTCTAAAAAATGCTGGGTTGGTTTAACCCAATATTGGGTCAAATATGGACAAACCCAAACGGGGGGTTAAAAATGTAACTAAAAATTAACCCAAAGGCTGGGTTCGTCCATATTTGACCCAAATTTGGGTTAAACCCAGCATTTTTTAGAGTATATAGTCATGCTGCAGTTGCTTAAGTGTGATTTGAGACAATTCAGAGTTAATTGAACTTTAGCTAACTTAAATCAGTTGTTCTTAAACCAAAAACTCATCTCGGGATAAATCAACTCAAGAGTTCACATTTTAGCTCAGAGTTGGTTGAACTTCCTTATTGAAACAAACTCCCTATTTTGCTCAGTTTGTTGTCCTGTCTCGTCAGTGTTGCTATTCTGTTTCCCAGAATGTTCCTGTTATGCTCCTGTTCCTGTCATTCTCTCTTTAATACTTTTCTCTTTCAATTCCTTTCAGTTTTCCATTCCTTAGACCAGTTATAACACATCAATGTGACCACAGATGATTAATCAATATGGAATTTTCAAATGGAAGTAAAAAAAAACATATAATAGTTGTTAATGCTCTCAGTGCCCCTCAAGCACTGGATATTATTTACAGTAAAACTGTCTGAGATAGTGTAACCTCGCCTCTCTTTGCTATGCAGCCTTAACCTTGAATCAGCCTAGCAACACTCTCTCTTTCACCTCTTTTAACTGGCAACACATGCACTCTAGAAAACAAAGATCCATGGGAATGTCTCAAGAAAATAATAATTTTTTGGTTAAACACAGAGTCTATGGCTGTCTGTTTTCAATATCCCCAAAAGGCAATCGTGCTATTGTGCGCTTCCTTTACTAATGGAAATGTTATGTGTTTAGAATGTTTGATCAGTGATTTGTTGCATTTTTTTAAAGCCAAAATCCTGGGGAAAATAAACTACTACTTCACCTTTGCGTGACAAAGCTTAAAATGTTGAGTAAAAAAAAAGGGTAGGAAGTTTTCAAGTATGTGTTTGTATGTGTGGGTGGTGAATGCTTCTGTAATTTCACACAAATCAGAGTTAAGAAGCCTTGTTGTGACCTCATATCCCTGGACTCCACCTCCATCCAGCCCTTCACCCATGGCACCATTTACACGTCATTAATATCCATCATATCTGTCCACCCGCTACCCCTCTTTTTTTGCAATGTCACTCCCAAAAGGCATTATATTATAAAAACCCTTCAAACGTGTTTTTTATTAATGTTTTGCCTTGTTTTGGAGATTAGAACAATATTATAATTTCTGCTATAATGCATGCCTTGTTTTCTTCTTTGCCTATTATAGAATGTTTTATACCATGTCATTTTTGTTTCGTTCTTGTGTCTAGCATGAGTCATTCTTTCATAATTGTCAAATGGATTTATCGGAGTTAAATTATTGCTTACCTCACAGGCTTACACAAAGCTTTAAGTTTTCAGTTGGACCACAGGGATACTGCTCTGTGTCATATCATGAGGACCGATTACTATAGCTTATAAATAACCACTGATCTTCTGTATTAAAGGAGTAACATGTTCTGAAATGATCTTTCATTTATATAAATACAAGTGTATTGTGCATTAAAGTGATATTTATTAAATGTTTGTGGAGGGAATGCCAATACCTAAACTGAACGCCATGAAAAATAATTCTGGATCAGAATTATTGTTGAAAAACCAAAAATGCCAAATAATTGAGTCTTTACTCAATATTTTTAAATATGATTTAAAAAAATTAAAAATGTTTTAGTTTTTCCTAGTTAAAACACAAATTAAAGATATGTATAATTGCAGAGCTCTGTAATTGAATTAAAGAGCTCTGCAATTGCATTCTTACTAGTAAGAACTGAATTAAAGCTCTATAATTGTAATTCTTACTAGTAACAATTCAATTAAAGAGCTGTGTAATTAAAAAATTAATGGAAGTCAATGGAAACATGTCAAAAAGTTCATTTGTAGAGCTTTCTAATTGTAATTCGTAGTAACAATTCAATTAGAGAGCTCTGCAATTGTAATTGTTACTAGAAATAACTGAATTAGAGAGCTCTCTAATTGTATTTTCACTAGAATTGAGTTAGAGAGCTCTCTAATTGCTACTTGTAAGAATTGAATTAAATGAATTCCCACTAGTAAGAATTGCATTAAAGAGCTCTGCAATTGCATTCATACTAGTAAGAACTGAATTGGAGAGCTCAATAATCGTAATTGATACTATTAAGAATTGAATTAAAGAGCTCTCTAATTGTAATTGCTAGTACAAATTTAATTGTAAAGCTCTCTAATTGAATTCTTACTAGTAAAAATGAAATTACGATGAGTAAGGCTGGGTACAATTTTAGCTAAGACGGCTTGCCATATCATTTGTTGTAGTCCTTAAAAAGCGATTTCTTTAAAGGCAAATATCTCCCTTTGCTTTGAACTTTGAGCATTGTAACTTTGCAGATGTTGTTTATGCTGCTCAAACAGCAACAAATAAATAAAATTAGACAAGTGAAATCATAATTAAACACTCCTTTAGGCTATTCAAAACCCACGAAAAGCATATAACATTTTAGGCCATGTATTCTGTGAGCATGCGTTTATTTTGAAATAGTACAAAACACAATAACCTATAAAACATGACTAAAATCCTTTCAGAGTTCCAGGCCTAAAGATCTTATCTGCAAGCTTTATGATTGGGCTGTTACATACTGAAGAAGATCTTTGTGAAAACCACAGAAAATGAATAGCACAGCAGTGCTGCTTATCTAACTGCTGAGTCATTGTTACAGTGACATATGTAAAAGGCCTATTCGTGTCAGAACTCGGCTATATTAGATGTTTTATTTCCATAAGGATCTGTATACTATACACACACACACACACACACACAAACACATATGTATATTGTTTTTATATGCAAGCTACTTTGCTTAGCCATACAGTATCGATAGAGTTTTTCATCTTTAAGTCTGAGCCGCATGAACCCGTAACAACATGTCTTAGGAATTAAGTCCAGGCGAGGACTTGGATGTTTGGGCTACTCCTTCACGCATGCAGAGAGGATGGAAGCAAATATGGTGTCAAGTGCAGATGTTGTCAGAACATGTTCTCGTGAATCGCAGACGACCTCGTCGCACGATATAGCAAGAGCTCGGCGTGAGACACACAATAAGTTACCACAAAACCACCAAACCCTCCAGGCCATCTGTGGGTGTGTCTGCATGGCTTGGCCCTCAAGAGAAAATATGTTCGTCTCAAATTGGTTTGCATGTCTTTTTCAAATATGGAACAGACGGGGGAAAACATTTCTCAGTGACCCCACAAGCTCATGCAATTCTTTCCAATTGCTGTTGAATTTGTTTTGAACTACGTATTTTGACACTGATCAAAATTAGTTCTTCAAATCCACTAATTATTTGACTAAGCCGATCAAAAAAGATCACTACTGCTCACTAGGGATTGAATGACTTCAGTTTTTTTTTTAATTCGACATTTGTGTGATGAAAGCATAGGATGAAAGTCGATTCAATGTCGACCAGTCGCTGATGACGTCATTAATGAACAAATAAGCCTGAATCTCGAGCCGAGACTCAAATGCGGATTGCCATGTGCAGAGCTATGTTGACAAGGCTATACATAACTGCTTACTTTTATCCGTTATTTTGTCTTTTGGTCGTTAGTCTTCACAGATTACTGCTCGTTCTAAATCTACAGGTAAAGTTGCACATAAACATTCATATGAATGCCTCTATCTAATAGCTGTTTAGTTACTAACAAATATACTCTTCAGTTTCCAAGTTATTAGTCGACGTCAAGCTTAAAGTGTCATGGCAGAGCATTAAAGTCGACTAGTCGGTGCAACCCCTATATTGCACACACCAGTCATAAAAGCTTGACAATATGGTAGTCATATATTGATTGTTATTAACTCTACAGACCCACCCATTTTAAAACAACGGTGTAATTTTATTCACTCTGAAAAGCCCTGGCTTCTTTAGTATACATACTTTTAAAACGGTAGCTCACATGTCTTTTGCTGGCTCACTTCTCCATAACCCATGGTTCATCTGGAGTTCAACTAAATTAATTTCCCAATACTGTACAACTCAACTCAATGGAAGATTCCCATAAATACATAAATAGAACATGTCAAATTATGGGACAATTATCGGAAAATGTGCATTATGGATTTATTCGTTTAATATAAAGTGGAATGTAGAATCTGCAGATCAAAGTCAGTTCCAGTGATTGTGTTTCAGCAAGTACAGTCTCGCTTCTCAAACCACATTAAAGGAAGGTGCGAATATTCTGGAATTTTACTTTATTGCTCTCTTGATTGATTCTGTTCTTCAAATAGTTTTTTGGAAGTGACATGTAATTTGTCTGTAAGTGGAGCATGTGTTTAGGTAATCAATTCTATTCTAGGTCTATATTTTATTTTATTTTTTACTAAATCTAATACAGGGGTGAGAATGCGTTGCTATATAATATAGGCTATAGAATACTGAATGTTTCCATTTGAATTTATTTACGTATGCCTAAAAAAAAATACAATTTACATCGAAACCTCCTGGTTTATGCAACATTTCAGCCAACCTAGTTTATGGAAAGACAACCTGTGCATGTAAACCAAAAGTAAATCAATCAAATTTTACTCAGGATACTGATTAAACCTCATGAAATTTCTGTACACAGAAAATCAAAAAGATGAGCATGCATAGTTTAAGAAGCCATTAAAAAGATAATGTTTTGTTGCTTCTAAAAGAGCTCTAAAAATAATGCAGGGCCATTCTTTGCATAAAATTTTTCTACATGCAATCCCATATGCATAAGTAGACACTAACTCATTCTTACCTATTTCAGTCATGCACTGTAAAAATGAATATGCTTTATCTAATCAATAGAATTGTGGCAAGAGATTACAAGCAATATTATTAATTAAATTTAATTAATTAATTAATCAAATTATTCCTTAAATGTTAACCATTTAAACCAAGTTTACACAAAAAAAAAAAATCTGAATAACAGACAAACATCAAAGATTAATTAAGAACTCTTTATTTCATATTGCTAACGTTGAAGACACCTGATGTTAACAAGCAGAATCACTGAAGGAGAAAACCGTCATTTTAAAACAAACACCGATCACCATAATGGTGACTTCAATTTATGTTTTTTTGGTTGTTGTTGTTGTAAGTTTTACTCATTTTAAATGGTTAACTTTTAAGGAATTAATTTGATTAATTATTACTCAATTCTAATTTATTAAATTTAAATAATAATTTTGCTTCTAATCTGTTGCCACAATTTTTTGATTAGATAAAGCATATTCATTTTTACAGTCTGCAGTTATAAGAGGAAACATGATAGTTTAATTAATATGTCATCATCTTTCTTGACTTAATTCCATTGTTGGAATATTGCTTTAACAACTTATAAAACATTTATGGTTTTCTCTACAATGCTCAGAGAGATCTTTACGTTGAGCTGTGCGTGCAAACGCAAGCATCTCATCATGCTAACTGAAGAATAATGAAACTTATTCTTGTCAGATTCCTCCCATTCTTACTTTCAGCCATCTTTCATCACTCCACATCTGCTTCATCCTCCTCAGCTCCAGCGCCACACTCCTTCACTGGCAGCAGTCCATATTCATTGAGGAAGACCTCTACATCAGTAGCAAAGAACTCCTCGTTGAAATGCTGCGTAACAGCCAGGAAGTTCCCCAGCAGCTCTCCAGCCTTGTACACCAACAAGGTAGGCAGAACGTCATCTGAGAAACGCTCGCCAGCTCCGGTGGCGGCTGCCGGAATGCGGCAGAATTTAACAGTGTTATATTCAGAGGCCAAGCAATCCATGCAGCTGTTAAGTGCATCGCACCCCTTCACTCCATCTTTGTAGATGTGCACCACCACCACGGTGAGCCGGTGCTCCTTCTCAATGACATCTAGAAAGGCCTCGCCACTGTCGAGGTCATACACAGTCTCGAATTTGGGCCCGAAGCTCAGATGCTCGTGCATCTCCTGCATGCATTGCTTACGGTACTTACGCAGACTTTTTTCATCATCTTCCTTTATTAACTCATACTCCTGTGCACTCATCTGGAAAGGAAAAGAGAAGGAGGGAAATTTAAAGCTTGCAGAGTTTTGAGAGTAACTGCATTTATATTTGGGAGCAAATCCATTAAATCAGGGGGGTTCAGTTTTGATGCCAATTTTTTTTTTTTCATGTAATGAAACTTTGATCCCACTTTTTACAACCTAATTGAGATCCAAAGTTTGTTCTCCAAAGTGGTATTTTCAAATCATATTCAAAAAGGGCAACCTTGCGATTCAATCCACCCACACAAGTGTCTTTTGGTTTCTGAGGGGACGACATCTGTCTTAGCAGCTCTCTCTTGCTGGGAGGAAGAACCTCCTGGTCCATGCTCTCCAATTTAAATTTACGCCAGTCATTGATGACACCTTTTGGGCCTAGAGATGGTTGGAGAAGAAAATGCCATAAATGAATGAACTTACATCAATACATTTACAGCCAACAGTTATTCAGTTTCCTGCTCCTAATGGAGAGTTTTCATGTGTGCACTAATCTTTGATTTATACACAAGAATACCATGCTGTAATAATTGGTGTAATGCAGGGATTTCCAAACTTTTTTCTGGCAGGTAAACCTCTTTAACCTTAAAGGGTCACTCCACCTCAGGAAAGATGAATGTGTATTTAAAATGGGTAATTTATGTAGAGGAAATGTGAAATTATTTTTGAATTTGGAGCTTTCTAGACTGAGAAAAGACAGAAAATGTATTTTTGGCTTATGTGGATGAAAGACAACAACTCCCAGAATGCACTTGCTACGCTGCCCTAGGAGGCCACGCCTACCGGTAACAGAGCGCAGTAGATAAACAACAAGTCTAGGCTACTAGTGAGGCTCTGTGATGAGTCTGCCCAAAAATGTGTTTCGAGATCGTCCAAAATGTCCGGGATTTGGCTTTTGCGTTCTACAGTCGTCATTCATCCTGTTTACTGTGGCGAGCAGGACGAGGCTAGGGCCGTGTGGAGAACGACGCCTTTTGAGTTTGGGAAACCCTGGTTAATGTATTTTTTTTTTTATGTTCCCATTCTGCATGCTTTTGATTCATAAGATCACTTCCCCTACCCTATGACACATTAACTTTACAGTCTCACAAACAATACGAGCCATACTGACCTGTCTGAGTTACTATCACTGGTTCCTCGTCCATCATTCTGTCAGACATTTGTATCTGTTGATTATCTGTGGGAAAAGATTAAATCTCTATCACATCTATAAAAAATTAAAATCAAATTCTCAGAATTTTTTCAACAAAAATAGCAACAGATTTACGTCTCTGACCTACAATCTAGTTTCAAAGAAAACAAAAGACATTATCAGTTATTTTCAGGCTTTTAAGGCACTCAAAGTATAGCATCAAAACTACTTAAGTCAGCATGTGGACAGTGTCTCTGTGTCGTCGAACCTGATCACTCTTTCTTGGAAGGAATAGGTTTATCAGGAGTAAGAAGATTAGATTACCCCATGATCCAATTTGTTTGGACGTCGTGGATATGATGTCATGCAATGACAAATTAACTGTCCTCGATTCATTCAGGACATGCATCAACTCCCATTTCAACCCTGACACTTTAAATTGGATTTAGTCAGTTGACTTTTTAGTCTTTTTAAATCACCTTATTATTTACAATAATAGCATTACATAAAACTCTTAAATACCACCTTAATGCCAATATTAAAATGACCAATGTAGATAATTGTTTGTGTTGAGATCAGACATTAAACTGATTTTTTTCCCCACTTCAAATGCATGAATGTCACCGCAGAAGCTTAGCAGCTTAATACTAGAGCTTAGCGTCTTCATTTTGCCCCCGCAGTACAGAACCTTTCACTACTCTCAGTAAATCACAATTGCTAATTGAGATTACAGCCATGATGCAATTCATCGGCTCAGGTGGCAACAGATCCTGTCAAGTTGCGTTAGAGGTTGCTTCAGTTTTCTTTGTTATCTTTTCTAAAACTTTTACAGTTGTTTTGAGCTCACAGATTACTCTTTATGGGTTAAAATACCCATGAAACATTAAAAAGGCATGATATTATCACAGTCTAAGATATTCTTATCTTTTCTAAAAAATATATATATATAGGGGTTTCAGGACAGGACACTTTTTCCCAGTCATCTCAATTGCATAAAGTGTCACAATAATCCACATTTTCATGTTTAAACATTCATGATTATCGAACATTAAATTTGAGTTCCTCAAAAAGTGTTCAAATTTGATGATAGAAATCAGGCTTTGCAATAATGTTTCTAGCCACATTGATTCTTTTTTACTTTATCAAAGACTTTATGAATGTTTTTCTTTCAGACTGATCTGAATCATTAACTCTTGTTGAATCATGCAGTTTGCATTCTTTTCTAAGATAAATATACCATAGACAACACTACTGCTATCTACAGTACATCAAAGCATCTGGGCTAACCGCTTAAAAAGCCGGCTTCAAGGCTTGCTTTAGATTCAAAAACAGGAATTCTGCTGCAACTTGTAATGTGTAAATCAAATGAATAAGTGTTAATGCAATCTATATGGCTGTTACCTTATAACTCATCAAAAATATGTTCAGGCCTATTACATAGACTTTAGTTAAATAACGCAGTGACTTAAAACTGTGAAACAAAACAAACAGGAAATTAAGACATGCATATAAGCATGGAACTGAATACACTTTAAAAATTCTGTAGCTGTATGAGTAAATCAGTTATAACCTGCAAAATCAAAAAGTTTGCCTTCTCACCTTTTATGTACCGTCCAGTGAGCTAGCCTTCCGTGAGCTGTTATGTGGTCACTACCACCGTTGGCTTGTCCTTCGTGCTTTTTTTTTGAGTGTGCATGGGGAGGGCACAAAGAAGCTTTAAGTCAAGATACTTTGGGCAACTATAGTGCAGAAATAGCACTGGGAACTTAAGAGGATTTAAGTGCAGTAATTAGACAACCAATGATAAAGGTACCATAGAGAGAGGAGAGTAAGGGTACAAAAGGATAAGGATGATATTGAGAATAAAGTGGGGAAGAATGAGGAAAAATTTGAAAAAATTATGCTGAAATTAAAGAAAAAGATTTTGGTTTCTGATCTGCTTCGCATCTAATCTTAAAACTAATCGTTACTTATTTAGAGGGATAACATATATTTTAAGTGTTTTGGACACTGCAGTATTTTAATAGTTCTAATGCTGATGACTGTGAGCCAGAATGTAACTTAAAGTTGGTAAAAAGGGATAACACTGGGATCTGATGTAGTGATTGAAAGGGTTCTCTCGTCCTACTTATAAAAAAGTACACACTACCTTCAAATGTTTAGGGTCAGTAGATGGTACATAGGCCCTACATAGGATTGGCCGTATTAGTGCAAATAAACACTCATCTTTTCAGCCTAACTGTATCTAACTGATACCTAGCACACGTTCACATTTAAATTGAGTATAGGCTACTACAGGCTAATTGGGCTGATTTGGGCTATGCACGCTACTGTTGCTGAAAGCGTCTGATGTCATGCACTTGGATTGACTAGCAAAGTCCAACTGCCTGCTGTCAAACGCGGGTTGCATTGGAGGTGGTTAAGCCGAGCGCCTCTCATAGATAGTAAGGGTGTTGAAAATGGCAAATACGCCTTATTCACGGCAGCGCCATCTTTGATTTTTAATGAGAATGAAAGCGAGGCTGTGAGGGATAGACTTGCATCTCTTCAATGGGCTGTACTGTTATTTAATGTGTTTTCAGTTTGTTCTGCTCATGAAACACTGGAAAAATATCTTTCCAAGAAATGTCAGTTGACAAAAAACTCCCGACAATGTAAGCTGTGGAAAATTGTAAGTAATCTAGCCGCTTTATTCAGCTTTTACAGCGGATGCCATTGGAAACACGGTAAGTCTATCCCTCACAGCCTCACTTTCATACCTGTCATGGCGCTGCTCTGAATAAGGTCTATAGACTCCGCTTTGAAAGATAAGTAATGGAAAACAATCAATTGTTTCCTATGTTAGGTGTAGGTAATCCTAATCATAGAGCAAACATAAGTCATTGTTGCTGAAAATGTCTTAAGTCTGTACAGTCGGTCAATGTTGAGGTGAATTGATGACTGGTGAAACCCTGCGTGTAATAACATCGCTGATGGTTTTACATCGAAGTTGGTTTAAAGCCATGTGCGTGTCATCTATACGCAAAAGGGAGCTATGCGTGGGCAGAAAACGCAGACGCACTTGACAAAACGTCCTGTGATGAGAACGGGTTGAACTAGCTGTATCCTTCCTACTGACATAACAAACACAAACAAAAATGATTTAAATTAACTCAGAGACATCATTTTATTACTTAAACACATAAAGCCATTCTTTGACTATAAACAAAAGTGCGTAGTATTATTATTTAAATTATTTAAAAAGTAAAATGTAGAAAAGCATGATGTGCTCATCTTGAATGATGACACAATGAACAATGTAACAAAATAGGCTACACAATTAAGACTGAATTAAAAAAAAATTATACATTGACATGGCCTAATTAGAGTAGCCTATTTTTTCAAAAATGCATGATATTTGTATTTAAACCATATGGTTTATGAAGGCATGTACCATTAGTTATTTTATTTTCCTTTCCTTTAATTTTCTTTTAATGTAGGCTAATTGAGAATGTAATAGGCATCGGTATACAACTTGAAATGAACAGTCAACACAGCAATGATTCTGTTTTAATCACACTTTGTCTCCTGTCAATGACTAAAGGGAATATCTCTGCTGATCAAAGAGTGGTTTTGACAAACGAAAGTGTGGGAGGTGAACTGTAAGTTAGTCATTCGGGGTAAAAGTGGCTTCGTTTCTGCTCATGGAGAGACACACCCATATCGGGATCACCAGCAGGTGAGAATGCACACCGCCACCCCCTTCAGTAGTTCAAATGGTTTTGTCATTGTAACTGGGTGTGGTGTAAATGTAGGTAAACCCCATTAGGATACCTATCAGGGCTTGCCATGGCACCAGCATCAGGGAGTTTTTAGGTGATACCTGCTATGGGTGGGCTTCTTCTTTCCTAGCGTTTGTCCCACATTGGCCCTGCGGGGTCCTGCTTACCTGCTAGGAATGGGCAACATGACTTTATTTCGACGATAACGATATATATCATGATATAGATATTTTATCTAATATCTGTTATTAAAAATATGAAAAAGAAGCAAATTACAAACAACAGGACAAATACGATATAACAAAAAATATTTTTACAGAAATTTGTAAAAGTACAGAAATGTAATAACCAAATGTAAAAAATTAAATAGTGCATAGTCTTCACTCTATTAATAATGTCTGTGTACCTTCTGGTCATTTGATTGAAAAAAAAGGTTTGATTTTTTGTTTTTTTACGTTTTATTTATGAAACGGTAAAATGAAAATTAAGCTAGATTTTTCGCTTTTTTTTTTTCATGGGTAAAAAATTTGATTATGCTTTACTCTGGAGACGCACTGACCCGACTTTGAGCTTGATTTGTTTCTCAGTTGTGGACGTCCCAGAGCAATTCTTTTCAACTCATCCTGTCTTCTGTATACTGCCTGTTCCATCGTGCAGATTAAGAGTTCATCTGGGGCCTATACCATGAAGCCGGTTTAGGTGGCTAGCCAGGTATGTTTTAGTTTAGTTTGCGCTAACCCTGGGTTCTAGGCACCATGAAATTGGTTTGGCTTTTAACAGTGATCATCGCCATATAACTTGCACTCCACCGCTAGCCTGGTCCAGGGCAGGTTATGTTCCAGGTAAGAGGTTGCAAAATGAACTTGGACCAATCAGCTGTGCACAAAGTGACACATGTCTGATGCGATAAAGTCACTCCACCTGTTTCCACTCCAAATTAAAGGTCACTACATAGCAAATGATTTTTGAAGACAAAATTACCGACTGTCCGGCTCTGGAACTATCCCTTTTAAAATTGGCGTGCCGTCTTTTGAAACAATACAGGAAACACTCCCATTTCCTTTTTACAAGCATCTACATGCAAGCCAGTATGTACATAGTATAGTGTTTCCCAACCTGATCAACAAATGAAAACCACTGACTCAGACTACAGTGGAGTTTCTATTTTCTGCCTTTTCAAAATGAATGAGGCTGCATCACAATGACCCACAAAGTTACACCTATCTGTCCTATCATACGCCCACGTTTCCATTTACAGTGAATAGGAATGATCTGAATGCCTGAGATTGCGTTAGAGTAAGAATTCCTCAAAGGCTCCTCATTTCCTCTGGCCAAAATGAGAAAACACTCATTTATGCACGGTTTGCGTCGGACAATATGTGTCTACAGGAGACTCATGCTGGCTTTAATAACATGCTTACCAGGAAATTATTACTCAATGTCTCTTTAGCTTTCCATTGCTCATGGCAAGCAGATAAAACCCAAGAATTATGAAGTTAGGGGAAGACAGGGTCATTGACCCAGACAGGGTCAAAAGTGTAAATGGGACTTTGTAGAGTATAGGAGGGGGTGCACAAAGTGCTTATTGAGAGTTGCAATTATCGCTTAGAGGACTTTGTTGTGTTGTATGCTCTTTTTTTTAGCATACAACACAATGGGTAGGGAGTGATGGGTAGGTCTAATCAGGCATTCCTGCATTACTTTGGCTACAACAAGGGGCAAAGTAGCAAAACAGCTCTCAACTTTTTATGTCATTGTCTGAAAGGTGATGAAGCTCTGTGGAAGTAGAGATGCCGAAAAATACATTTAATAATAAATAATCATTTATTTTCATTGTAGAAATTTCTTTGAATTTGATTCCATTTGAATTCTTCTTTTTAATTCAGGATACTGTTTCAGAATAGAATTCAAATTTAAAAGGCATTGTCAGTTCATGCACATGACCTGTACATTAAGCACAACATAAACATGATTCACGCCTTTAATTTTTTGCAGATATCAGTAGATTATATTGTTATATTCTATTTTAATGTATTTGATAAAATAATTACATTTCAGTGAAACAAATGAAAGAGTTTCTAAGGCCTTTGATTGAAAAAAGAGAAGAAAAACCTCAGAGTACTGGATTAACATAATAGGCTGTGCGTATACCTTACGGTGTTCACATACACACTCAAAACAACGTCATGACAATGACCTTTCATCTGTCACATCAAAACTAGCCGATTCATTGTGGAATCCAGTGGCTATGCTCACTGCTTACGCAAGGGAAACATGATGGTTCACTTTCCCGTTCTTACACACCGATCTTAGTCATTTACTTTGTAAACTTTCTCACACTCATTCATAGTTTGTTTTTATTATTCTTTTGTCTGAGGTCCCCTCTTTCCCACTGCGAGAAAAAGAAATGACTCATGTAGGGTCTCTTTACCACCACCAGGTGACAGTACACGCATAGCAACAACTTCCTGTTTGACCTTAAACTGAAGAACAGATACAAACAAACTTTATTACACTGCAAGTTGTCATTTATCAGATGTTTGTACCCATAGTAACAAAACATAGGGCTGTTGGGGTTAAAGAGGGATTTTTCTCGCAAAAAGAAAACTAGTCATTATTTAGGCAACTTACCCTCGTGCTGTTCAAACTGTTCTCAAACACACAAAATTGTATTTAAAATTATTTTATAGAATTTCCAAGGCTACTTCTTGTGAGAAAACTAAATTTAAGGTGTTTTTCATCGTTAAACTTGACCTCAACTGTAATGTTAGCTCTCCATGGTGAGCTTATGAGAGAGGTCTGATCTGGGGCCTCCTACTTTCAAACTTAAAGGGTAATTCCACCGGTGGAACATGAATATGTATTGAAAGTGGGTCATATATGTAGTAGAATCGTATAAGAAATGTCTAATTTGGGTCTTTCTTGGTCGATAA